GATTGGTCGATCGGCCAATAAAATCACGAGATGATCAACAAAATCTAACCAATCACAATAAAAGTTCGCTATGCTATGTGATATACATCATTCCGTCGATTAAAACATCGGGCTAAGCGGCTAACAGTCTAGTTTCGGAAATTTTCTTTTTCTCCGAGTATTTTATGTTTATTCTACCGTAATTCTACAATTAGAACTATTAGCCGCATTAACCAGCTGGCCCTAGTCGGCTTACAACTATATGTGATATGATCTGGTATGACCCATTGTTTTCAAAACTTATATAAGTCGCAAATAAATTTTATTATGAAGTGTACATTAATATTAAAGCTATATACGTGTATTTAATGCACGACAATTATTATAAAGTTAACGTACAGTATGACAAAGATTTAAATAGTTGTGTTTGCTTTTGAATTATTCGGATGTTTTCTCAAAATTTCAGCCAGACCTTGCTTGAATTCATTTTCTATTCGGAAATTTTGAATACTATATTCCAAATTTCAAAAAACCGCAAACATAAAGCACATAAAAGAAATTTTTCACTGGATGGCTCCGGAAAAATGCTAGATTCGAAAGATAATCCTGTAAATTATACATTTAAATGTGAAATTTTCAGGTATGATTAATAACCCAAATTTATTTTCCAAACTTATTTTAATTCTTTTACTTTTAAAATTTTATTTTTCTATTCGAAAAAAATTAATTTTGAAATGTTATTATGGGAACTCTCATTTCAAAAAATCCCTTATGTAAATATGAAAATAGAACAGATAAGAAATCAGATTTTAGAATGTAAACGGGGAAATTTTAATTGGAAACCTGAAAAACCAAAGATTAAATGTTTCCAAGAAGGCCTTCAAAAGGTTACAACATCCGGTAAGTTTATATTTCATTCATATCAATTAAAGGTGCTTATTTATTAAAAGCATTATATATTACTATTTCTATAGCCTGGCAAGATGTACGTTAACGAGCATCTCTTCAATGCATTTTCCTGGATCTTTATAAATTAGCATATGACAATAACGATGATTTATCATCAAATTCAAATTCATTTAAATGATATTTATGAGGATCGTAAGAAACATATACCTTATACACTGATAAACCACTTGAAGCTGGATTTGAAGCTCATAAAATAGAAGATCGAAAGACTGCTTGAGAAATATTTTGTGCACACGCAGAACGCAGATTTAGGTAATATGACTGAAAATATTGGAAAGACCATTACTTATCTGAAGTGTATGTTGGTGAAAAGGATCAAAAACAAGCAAGTAAATTATTTAAAGAAGCGGCTGATTATTGAATTGCTGTTGCTCAATTAGATTATGCTTTCTCACTTTTAAAAAATTTGATCTCAATGTATTTATTGAGTACTTAACCAAAGCTGCCAACAATGGAAATGAAACTGCACAATTTATTTTAGGCGATATGTATCTTTATGGAAAGCTCAATTGTAAAATTGATGAAAAGTTAGGAATTAAAAATTTAAAATTAGCTACTCTTAATAATAATGATGAAGCTATTAAAATTCTTGAAAATTTAGATGTTGATGTATACGATGATAGTAGTTAATTTATTTTAGAACAAGAAAAATAATTATAGATAATTGTTACAGAAATATTTATTATTGCAATCAATAATTTAAAAAAGGAATATAAAGTATAAATAAAGATCTTTTCTTACATTTAAAAATATCCGTAAATTAAATTTATAAATTGGATTTTTTAGGTTTAGAGCGTTCTCAAATCTCATTCTCAATGCGATTAGCTAGTGATCGCGATAGTGCTCAGCTATAATCATATTTATATAAATTTTTTGTATACAACTTGATGCAAATAATACATCATTGAAGTTTTATCAAACATCATCTTAGATGGGATTAACCAGTGATCGTAACGATGTTGATTTAATATAATCAATCTAATAAACAAATGTTCATAATTTTTACTTGAACTTTCTTATTTTCTTCCATTTATTAAATGTGACATTGTCAATGAAAATAAAGTCAGTTAAGTACGGAAAAAATGTCTATTCAGTATCTATTATAAAATGTTCGTAAATTGAAATGCAAGCTCACCTAATATTTTTTTATAAATAAAAAAATTTCTGAATTACGAATAAACTTTATTCAGTTGCGAATATGATTCAAAATATTTTCCACTATATAAATTTATTCCTCGACATTTTTGACCCAGCGATTGAGAACGCCCTTTATCGTGTATATATTTAAATGGGAAATCATTAAATTTAGAATTTTACTCGTATCACGCAGTGAAATTGCGTGCGCACAACCAGCATTATGCTTGTAGCCCGAATTATATAAAAACATATGAGGAAGCCACCTGAAAAATTTTAGATCATGTGATTAAAACATTATTCACATGCAAGTAGTAAATCATCACATGAACTTATTAGTAAAACATCACATGTAATTAGTAATTTGCATGTGTGATGAATAACATCACATCCCCGCGCTCGTGTGACAATTTGAAATCACGCCCCCGTGCCCCAACTAGAGATGGGCAAATCGCAATTTTTTCAAAAATCCCGCGCGGGATTGGATTACAAATCTGCGAGTTTATTAATTTTTTGTGTCTAGTAGAAAAAATCAAATTTATTGTTCTACCGGTGGGCATTGTTTCGAATTTCGGCCCAAATTAAGCTTAATTCGGGTCAAAATTCGATATTTCGAGAATTTACGGTGAATATGTTAAAGCAGGCCAGATATTATATTAATGCCAGTCAGATTATATGGTAATGCCGGCCTGATAATTTTATATTAAAAATCCCGCGCGGGCTCTAAAAAAATCCCGCGCGTGCCCATCTCTAGCCCCAACCCTACATGCGTAGGTTAGTTCCAGACTATCAATCAGATTTATGTAACGTTACACGATCAAAACAAGCGTTCGTTTTGCCAAAAATCGGGTATTACTCAAAAATCTGCAATCTTTCATGCATACAACTGTTTTCATAAATTCTGGGGCACCTAAAAATTTTCTCGTTTCCCGGAATCTTTTCGGTTTCGTCCGGTAAATTACCTAACTCTCCGGAAACTACATCGCTGTCTCCGGACCGAAGGTTCGAAAATAGCAATGTAGTTTCCAGAGAGCTAGGCAATTTACCGCAACAAAATTGGACCGGCAGATTCTCGATTTTGATTGGCTAAGAGCGACGATCAAAAATTAGGCCGTAATTACTCTAACTGCACATTAAATGAAAATTGTTCCTGGGCCAATTCTACCATAACGTGGGTTTGTTTTTTAAGCATTTCTGTTTTTGTAATGAAAAAATCAAAAAGTTAATTCCGGCCGGAAATTAGTAAACAATTTTGTAATGTGGGCCAAAATTTTGAAGATCCTCGGCCGTTAGCAATCAAAATCGAGGATCTGCCGGTCCAATTTTGCTGCGGTAAATGATTTAACCAACGGTACGGTTAAACCGGGTAAAATTCACCACCCAGATTTATTTAGATCATACGATATGATTTTAGCGAACATTATTTTCATACTTAGATGTAATGAAATGATGCTCATTAAAATCATAATATAGCATAATCTGAAATAAATTTGGTGTGAATTTTACTTGGTTTAGAGATGGTAAAAATGCGCATTTTATAATAACATGCCCATGATATCGCATGATATAATTTTTTTGATTTTATATTTTCCCTCCTGAAATATCGGATATTTTCCAAAATTTTTCCCCGACCTTTTCGTCTTTATGTTCATTCATTTTCTTTTTGGAATTTTTCAAAACTTTTGCATTCCTATTTCTTAATTTTGCCTTGCATTGTACACTTTGACCTAAATTAAATTTTCCTATATAAATTTTAGATGGGATAAAATGCGCATGATTCCGAATCATGCGCATGAATGTGCATTAATACGCACGATTGAGGAATCATGCGCATGAATGCGCATTAATACGCACGATTGAGGAATCATGCGCACGCATGAAACCCATCTCTAACCTGGTTGTAACTTTCTATATCATATGTCTCGTAAACAAAGCACTGTATTTAAGAATTTAATTTATAATACATCATATGTCGTTAAGAACTGAGATTCTGATTTATCGTAAAAACTTTTATTTATTTTTTTAACCATTTGAGATCGTAAAAACTTTATTTATTTATTTTTTAATTTATTTATTTTACACCCTCTATTGCCTGGCCTTAAGATCCTCCGCTCAGCCCCGGAAATTAAGTCTAGATGGGATAAAATGAACCCCATCTTTAATTCAAACCGAACTATTTTTTTCATAGCTCTTTTGTCATTCTTTTATCTAGATTTATAAAGAAATTTCGTCGTATTTATTTTTATTTTTGCCGGATTTTTTACCAGGCAGATGAATTGGGGTGTGGTCAATTAAAACAGCCCATTTTTACATATATCTTATTTTGAGATAATTGAGTTTAATCATTTGTTTTGATT